GGCAACATGCACATTTGTCAAAATTAAACATTTAATGTACACAATGTGTATAATTAATCACCCTGAGCAATATACGAGGAAATCTGACATTTTAAATAACCATGAAACATATTATTTCTATTGTATGGGTAAAACTGTTTTAATGTAGAAAGAACTTCAGAATTTGTTCTTTTGTTACTGTAATGCTGTCAGTCATCAAAAGAAAATAATGACAACATTGCTGATGTGTTGATATAAAACATGATATATAATAACAGCCCATGGCTGAGCAGAAACACACGGTCACAGCAGATCTCCGAGTCTGTACTCACTGGTCTTCTTCTTGACGTCCAGAGCGATCTTGATGCCCTGATCGAAGAAATCCACCACCTGCTGGAAGTCAGACTCCTTGAACTGACGGGACGTGAGAGCAGGGGATCCTGGGAAACCAGAGGAGCAGAGATTGAGAGTGTGTGAGAGAGTGTGTGCGTGTGTGAGAGTGTGAGAGAGTGTGTGCGTGTGTGAGAGTGTGAGTGAGTGTGTGTATGTGTGTGAGAGAGTGTGTGTGAGTGAGAGTGTGTGCGTGTGTGAGTGTGTGTGTGAGTGTGTGCGTGTGTGTGTGTGAGTGCGCGTGTGAGTGCGTGTGTGAGAGTGTGTGTGCGTGTGTGAGAGTGTGTGTGTGTGTGTGAGTGTGTGCGTGTGTGAGTGTGTGTGTGCCTGTGTGTGTGAGTGCGCGTGTGTGAGTGTGTGTGTGCGTGTGTGTGTGAGTGCGTGTGTGTGTGCGTGTGTGCGTGTGCGTGTGTGTGCGTGTAAGTGCGTGGTGCGTGTGTGTGTGTGCGTGTGTGTGCGTTTGAGTGCGTGAGAGTGTGTGTGAGTGTGTGTGCGTGTGTGAGAGTGTGTGTGCGTGTGTGAGAGTGTGTGTGCGTGTGTGAGAGTGTGTGAGAGTGTGTGCGAGTGTGTGTGCGTGTGTGAGAGTGTGTGTGCGTGTGTGAGAGTGTGTGCGTGTGTGAGAGTGTGTGTGCGTGTGTGAGTGTGTGCGTGTGTGAGAATGTGAGTGTGTGTGCGTGAGTGAGTGTGTGTGAATGAGAGTGAGTGAGTGCGTGCGTGCGTGCGTGTGAGAGTGTGTGCGTGTGTGAGAGTGTGAGTGCATGTGTGTGTGCGCGTGTGAGTGAGTGTGTGTGAATGAGAGTGAGTGAGTGAGTGAGTGAGTGCGTGCGTGCGTGTGAGAGAGTGTGAGTGAGTGTGTGTGTGTGTGTGAGAGAGTGTGTGTGTGTGAGTGAGTGTGTATGTGTGTTTCTCACCGAGTCTCAGGCCGCCGGGGGTCAGTGCGCTCTTGTCTCCAGGGCAGGTGTTCTTGTTGGCCGTGATGGACACCAGCTCTAGAACCCGCTCGGCCCGCGCTCCGTCCATCCCCTGAGGCCTCAGGTCCACCAGAACCAGATGATTCTCAGTTCCTCCTGAACAAACACACACGACACTCACCTTCAGTCAAAAGAGTCTGTCTGGATGAAGATCTACGGTTGCTTCGATTTCCAGTTCCCTGATTTAACAGCTTTTGTATTGAGGTTATAACGCATTCAATCATCATGAACAGCCATTCACAACCCATTCGACTGCT